GGAAGGAAGGAAGGAAGGAAGGAAGGAAGGAAGGAAGGAAGGAAGGACGAGAGAGAAAGGGACAAGGTAACATATCTTATATCAGACAAAAAAGACTTGAAAACAAAAATTGTAACAGAATACAAAGAGGCATATAATGTTAAAGAGATCAGCCCAACAAGTGGGTGGTAAGGAGGTTGGAAGACAAAGGAGAAAGCATTTGGTAGGTTATCTTGTCAGTTGGCCTTAATAGAGGCTGGTAGAAGAACAATGGAAAGCTACTTCAAAGTGGACAATGCCATGCTGGGTATGTGCCAGTTTAATCAAACAAAAAGAAAGAAAACATATCATCTATTAAACGCATTCACTAAGGGGTGTCCTTTTTTTTTTTTTTTTTTTTTTTTAACTCTGGCTTTTCCCACTATTTTTCCTTCCCAAGTGGGTGGAAAAAATGAGTCTATCAAAGCAGGAGCAGGATGTCAACTTTCTGGAAAGTCAAGCAGGAATATTTGAATTACTTAAATATTTATTATTAGGATAGAGGTTGTGTAGAAAATAGAAAAGAGGCAAAATTCCTGATAATTTCAAGTAATTCACACATTTGAAAATTTTGGAGAGTAAGGTTACCCCCACTCCCAGCTTATTTTTGTTTTCCAAACAAAGTTATATCCAAAATAAGTTATATCCAAAATAAAACAAGATGAAATGCTGAATTTGAAGTTTGGGACAATTAAAAAATGAGGAGATTTCAGATTTCAAAGATACGATTCATGAACAGGAGGTAAAGAAAAACAGGGACATTTTCACATCTATGTTTTCGTGATAATCGGAAAAGAAAAAAGAGGCAAAAGGAAAATTTAATTAAGTGCTATTGGTTCACAAATAATTTCTCATCTTGAAAGTATCTGATATGATAGCCTAGGCTATGAATTTAGACATGAAAGGGTAAATATCAAAATATAATAAGAACCTCAGATTCTAAGAAATTCCATTTGAGTTGAAGATGTGAGCTATTCAGGCTCAAATTGTGCCTTTGACTGTGGAGCGAAGTATGACTTTTTCTTTGGGACTTCTGAAATAATGGGAGATGATGAGATTTTGGAGTGATGGGGCCTCCAGAGTTGACAACCAAGAAAGAATTCTTCAAGACTTTTTGGTACAAAAAAGGTGATTTTATTAAAGTATGGGGACAGGTACAATGGACAGAAAGAACTGCACTGGGGTTGTGAAAAATGACTAGTTATATACTCTAGCATTGGGGCAGGAAAAGGCAAAAGGAAGACCTCCACAGGGACTTTCATTAACTAAAGAGGACTACTAAGACAACTGAAGTCTTGCTATTGTCAAGATAATACTGTTTTCTCTCTATAAAATTAGGATGGTAGGTATTTCCTGGAGAAATGTCTCAAGTATTTGTCAATGGCATGCAGGTTATAAAGAAATTTAATTATACCTGCCATTTCCTTCTTGCCTTTGGTCCCCACATGACTATGGATGTGAAGGTGATGTAGACTCAGTTTCTTGGGGTCCCTAATAGATTTCTGGAGATTAGGCTATTCCTTGTAATTTACTAAGATATTTGTAAACTGATGTGAGACTCATCTCCTGTATGACTGTGATCTCTTATCAGTTAACCATTTGTCTTCTTTCCTTCCTTTTGTTCTTGGGCAGCTGAGAGTGCTTGAAGAATATCACACATATCCTATCTGAAGGGGCTTGACCCTCAGCTTGGCTTGTGGTCCCTCATCAGATTTGATTAAAACTAGTATTTCAAGTATCTGAACAGTTCACTGAAGTTTCCTACTGAAGGTTTATGTTTCTTTTTTTCTTTTATTGTCCTTTTATTTTATTTTTCCAATATATGAAATTTATTGTCAAACTGGTTTCAATACAACACCCAGTGCTCATCCCAAAAGGTGCCCTCCTCAATACCCATCACCCACCCTGCCCTCCCTCCCACCCCCCATCAACCCTCAGTTTGTTCTCAGTTTTTAAGAGTCTCTTATGCTTTGGCTCTCTCCCACTCTAACCTCTTTCTTTTTTCCTTCCCCTCCCCCATGGGTTTCTGTTAAGTTTCTCAGGATCCACATAAGAGTGAAACCATATGGTATCTGTCTTTCTCTGTATGGCTTATTTCACTTAGCATTACACTCTCCAGTTCCATCCACGTTGCTACAAAGGGCCATATTTCGTTCTTTCTCATTGCCATGTAGTACTCCATTGTGTATATAAACCACAATTTCTTTATCCATTCATCAGTTGATGGACATTTAGGCTCTTTCCATAATTTGGCTATTGTTGAGAGTGCTGCTATGAACATTGGGGTACAAGTGCCCCTATGCCTCAGTACTCCTGTATCCCTTGGATAAATTCCTAGCAGTGCTATTGCTGGGTCATAGGGTAGGTCTATTTTTAATTTTCTGAGGAACCTCCACACTGTTTTCCAGAGTGGCTGCACCAATTTGCATTCCCACCAACAGTGCAAGAGGGTTCCCGTTTCTCCACATCCTCTCCAGCATCTATAGTCTCCTGATTTGTTCATTTTAGCCACTCTGACTGGCGTGAGGTTATATCTGAGTGTGGTTTTGATTTGTATTTCCCTGATGAGGAGTGACGTTGAGCATCTTTTCATGTGCCTGTTGGCCATCCGGATGTCTTCTTTAGAGAAGTGTCTATTCATGTTTTCTGCCCATTTCTTCACTGGGTTATTTGTTTTTCGGGTGTGGAGTTTGGTGAGCTCTTTATAGACTTTGGATACTAGCCCTTCGTCTGATATGTCATTTGCAAATATCTTTTCCCATTCCGTTGGTTGCTGAAGGCTTATGTTTCTGTAAGTGAAAAACACTTTTACTTTCTGGCATCCATCAGTTTGGTTTGAATCAGACGTAGAACTACAAACAATTATTTTCTGCTCAACTCTTGTCTCTTCAATTAGATATAGTCTTGTAGTCTTGATTTGTGTCTCATCTGTCTTTTGCAGTGCTCTCAGGTGGGAACTGCATGGTACATATGTCAGTTTGTGTGTAATTCATTTATTTGGAAACACTGATTGAGTTCCTACTGTACCAGGCCTGTTCTGTTACAGAACCAGGCTGGAACACTGGCAGAAAAACCAAGTGGCACTCAGAGATCTTGGTGGGCTGTAAATTTATTTAACACCAGTGGGCTCAGAGGAGACCATTTCTCCAAAGATCTGAGCCCCGAATGCGAGCAGGAAGGGCAATTTACAGTTGTAAGCCTCCATACTTGTGTGTGTGTGTGTGTGTGTGTGTGTGTGTGTGTGTGTGTGTGTGTGTGTGTGTGTGTGTGTGTGT